AGGGGATTGAGGTTTAAACTGTTAGACTGGTATCTTTTTCTCTAAATCTTTTGGCCGCACAGACAGCAGGTTTGTGGTCCAGTGATCAAGGTAGTGACAACGTCGCCCACTCGAGTCTCACATGCTGGTTTCATCCTGTTACCATGTGATGTAAATGGAAGTGAAAACACCCACTCTCTCCTCAGTGCCATGACAATCATATGACATCAGTATTGCAATGACACAGCTTTATTATCACCTGGGTAGTCCTGTGAGTTATTTCAGAATCTAGGATTAGAAAGTTGCTGATTGGTTGGTTAGGTGATACAGATTTGAAACAGTGTGTGGGTGTGTGTGTGTGTGTGTCTGTGTCTAAGTACATATGAAAGCAAGTTTCTGTATCCCATGACCGTGTCTGTAACGTGTGGATGTTTTCGTACCTGTTTTCTACCTGGACTATATTTAGTTGTTCTACTAAGTGAACGGAAACGAGTGGACGTCTGTTGGCTGCAAGTCTGCACAGTGCTAACAGCAGAACCTGCAATTTATCTGAAACTGCTTCACATTGCATCAGATCCACTACTGGAAGACTGTGTTGGTGTTTGTGGCAAGGAAGTGTGCACTTTCACTGGTTGCTCTAACGTGTGTGTGTCTGTACTATATGTATGTGCTAATCCTGGAAAGAGAAGTGAGATGGACACGCTCTTTTCTATAAATACACCTTCCATTGCAGCTTGCATCACTTCCTCTTTCTGACAAACCATGCATGTGCTCACTCACACACACACACACACACACACACACACAGATGCACGTAACTTAACAAGGCTTAACAATTTCCTTATCTACCATTGCGTGGTAACTGTGTTGTGTGCGCGTTTGATTGTGCGTCTGTCTGTGTGTGTGTGTGAGTGGAAAGTGGTTTGGTGTAATGGCACAACGTGTGGGCTGGGAAACAGCTGGTGACTCCAGTGAACATGCATGGATGCACAGAGTCCTGTGTAACAAAAAACTACTATATATCTGTGATAGAACATAGGTATATACATTTGTGTTTACGTGTACGCGCATGTGTCTATGTGTCATGGTTCTGTGTGACTTACTGAGAAAGAGTTAGACTTGGAAAGTGGTGTCTCACCACGTGACGTAAGTTTCTGGTGTTTTCCAAACCAAAGAAGTGGAACTAGCAGTGACGAGGATGTGATGTCATCACCAGGCTTTCTTTTTCACTCTAACTGCGGCCCCACGTCTCACGCTATTCTTTTGTCGCTTTCTTTTTTGTCTTTGTCTATATTTCCGTCTCTCTTGTCTCTGTACAGTATCTGTCTCTCTGTGGATTTGTCTGTCTGTTTCTCTCTCTTTCTTTATCTCCTGCTTCCCCTCTCGTTGCACTGTAGGGGAGTAGGCGTTCGCTGGCTGTTTTTTTTTTTTTTTATGAATGGGATGTGTTGTTTACTCTCTGACAGAGCTATTTCTGTCAGCGCTGATGATGAACACATACAGTGTGACCACAACAACTTCCTCCTCTATCGTCCTCCTTCCTCTGATTGGCTAAGTCTCTCCTCTCAATGGCAAAGGCTGTGCGTCTTTGAGGTAGTTGTGAATGTGTGTACTTTAGTGTGTGTATGCATGTGGGCCAGAGTGTTGAGGGGTCTCAGCGGGCCCTTTTTTTTTTTAGATAATTGATAAAAACATCCTGTTTCCAAGCGAGTGTAACAGTAAAAAATCTTTTCCAAATGATGTCACACAGCCCACGCCAAGAACAAATTTATATTTCATGACTGCAGCATCCCCACAGCTATCAAGTAATTAGCAATTTTCTTGATGGTAGGGAACATGTTCACAAATCTTAAACAAAAACTGGAAAAACCCTGTTCAAATACATACACATATACAAGATTCTAAGTAAATAAACACTCAACCTGATGCCACCTTTGGAATAATAACATATCAGCCCTGTGATTTGCATGTTAGCAGGTTGCTTCACCTGCCGACTCAATGGTTTTCTACATGCTGTTAAGACATTTTTGTAGTTTTTGTGTGACCTCCTCAAGGCCTAAAAAACTATATTACACACACAGCAAATGCTTGTATATAAGCACTGACACACACAGACAGTGGCTGGAAGGCATTTACGCTTGCATACTCATAAATAAATCCACCATGGTTTGGATAATACATACATGCAGTGCCTTAGGTTGTAGTTTTTGGGATGAGAAGACCAGAAGACATGTGCAGTCCTGTACCTAATTACCCCTGTGCTGCAAATGTGCACATGAATTGTGTGTTGTGTGCTTGTGTGTGGGCGTGTGTGGTAGTGGTATGTGTGGGAGGAGGTGTCTGATTGATGTGTGAATGAGTGGGGCTTGTAGGGCTGGGGTTTAAAATGATAGAGGTTGTGTCAGGGGGTATGGGGGTCATGGTGACTTTGACTTGATGCTTTTGTAATGTGACTTTGATGGAATGTTAACATGAGGAAAGTCATGGTCTCATGTTTGAATTCCCAATAGTGTTATGTTGCTTCTTGGACGGTTCAGATGAAGAGCTGAATGTTTAATTAGCATGCCATGAAAGGTTTGTGGTAACAAGCCACAGTGCTTAAAAACACAAACGTGCACGCTCACTCCAAATTAAATAAATAATAAATAATTAAACTGTATGTTTAAGTATTCTGTAAGATGTCATTTTAAAAGGTTTGTTCACCCAAATTAAATAAAAAAACATATTTAGATATTTACATGCTGTATCCGCCTCAGAGATGTACCTCCTTTATACCTGGGCAGAGGCAGAAACCTCAGATGTGGAGATCTCGCGGAAGACACAAGACACTTCTGACACGACACCTTCAACTACTAATAAGATCTATTATTGCTCTTTGTATGCATTAAAGCATTTTTCCCACAGACCACCAATACAATAGAGACACCTGTGAAACTGTTGTCTCCTCAAACTGCAAAAAAAGTCAATTATAGCTCTTTGTATTATGAGTTTTTTTTTTTTTTCAATTTAGACTTCTGGTTTGTGTGCCATCATCACAATATAAAAAGTAAAGTCTTTGGGCCGAGTGGAAGAAACACTTAATGGTATTGCATTTTTAATTTATCTAATTTTTTTGACATATCACTTTTTTTGGATCATGACAGTGACAGTAAAGGTGGGGAGAGAGAGGGGATCACATGCAGCAAAGGGCCCAGAGCTGGATTCGGGCCTGGGCTGCGGTAAGAACACTTGACGAAGGATACGCGCTCTACCAGGTGAGCTGAGTTCGGTATCCAGCTCTTATAAAACATCCATATCCAAATCTCTAATTCTGAACACATCTGAATGTCCAGATACCACAAGAGAAAAGTGAGAAAATACGTTTTTTTGTCAACTGGGTAAACAATATGCAATGAAGTTTTATGATTTATTTCCAAAAACAAGTTCCCTTCCTCCGTCTGCCACTCACTCCACTGTCCAATGTTTCTTTTTCCAAAATTCAGTATTGACATCTTTGCCTGCCTGCTGTGTGTATACGTGTGTTTGAACTGCTCTGAGGACATCCAGTTTGAGTGTTTCTCCTCCAGTGCTCTTTCCGGTTGAGGAACAGTAGTTTTTCTGTCGATGGGGCTTATGGATTGGCACATTCAGCATCCCTGCCCCCACTCACTCGCCCACACATGCAAACACAGGAACAAACTATATTCAGACTTTGTTGCGTTGGTCAGGTGACAAAAGGGGTACTTTTTGAGATAGAGCATTATTGTGTACATAAGTAACACTAAAAAAACTGAACAATAGTCCTGTCAGGTTAACCACTTAATTGTGTTGTTGCTGGTTTGTGAATTGTAGAGAACTTAAGGACAGGCACACAGAGAGCTCTTTCACATAAACCATGATGCATCATGCACGTCAAGATTGCACGTGGTTTCTGTACAGTACTGCGTGTTAAGGGGTTTAGTAATTAGGAGAAATTACTTAAGGCCCTGCGGATGCTATAACCTTAAGCCTTAACTAACAATTCTTTAGTTGTGGACTAGAAGAACACGCGTGTCTTCAAGAACATTGTCAATACTGATACCACACACTATTAGTAATACATAAAAAGAGTCTTTGTGTTTGCCCCTAGTGGAAATGCGTCCGTGTCTTGAGTTGCAGAGCCAGTGCATGAACTCATCCAGAGGCAGGTATAACTGAAGTTGTGGGTTCATGTGTTGAATTCAGGATTATAAATAGCAATACTTTCTACGTGTATTGAGCATCTGCAGCTTTGGGGTGGCTATTACAGTGATTTTAATGTCATCTCAAATTTATTGAAAGATTAAGTGGTCTTCTGTGGGTTAAGAAGCTTTTACAACTTCCAGACTTTCTTTTAGTGACACAAGGTCGGTTCCCATCCACCTTTTTAATGCGCATTTTTTAATAAAGGAAAAACAAACTGCATGGAAATGACCATTTTTAAAAATAAAATCTAAAAATAAAAAAAGTTTTTGGCAACCCATCCTGAGTGTTGCAATGGGCTGCCACTGTGATTTTGATGCAACAGTGACTGTGCTAACCATTGAGCCACCATGTTAGCAAATATTAGATAGACATTGCAACATCTATTGTAAAACATTCACACTACATTCACACCTAGGCTCTATTAGAGTGACCAGTTAACCGAACCTTCATGTTTTTGGACTGTGTGAGGGGACCAGAGCACCTGGAGAACCCGCGATATTCTCCCTATGAGATGACTGACTAAACTATAAGGGAGCTGACCTCTGATCTACCGTGATGCCAAAGAAAATACAATTAAATTAAATGATAGCGACACTTATTCTGTATATTTGTTCTTTGTGATCCCAAGTAGAATTTAACAGACTGAGTTATGTAATCGTAGTAATGGGCGCAGTTTGTTGTGTTTTGTGGGGTCCTTGGGGCTGTCCCACACAGACTTGGACTTGATTCTGCAGCACAGTTAGCAACTCATTAACAGCTTGCTCTATTGGATCCTGTCAGGTAAATTAGTCCTTTCTGTCTAATTTCTTTTTGCTCAG